CTTTTGCCTTCCTTTAATGAAATTGATGGAAAAGTCCTACTGCATCAAGTGGGAAGAATATCTAGTCTAAAATTTCAGAATATGAATATTGTAAAATCAGTTCTGATGTCCTCTTGCAGATGACTGAGAAACATTTCATCAGAGCTCCTTTGTGCTCCCCTCTGGTGGTTAGTGACTGAATTTAAATTTCTTTTTATCCTGACCACCTGGAAGGTTTCACGATTGCACAGCCAGTCAAGTGAAAAATGCTTTTTGAATCCTCACTTCACCTTATGTTTTGAATAACAATGTTTGCAAGTGTTTGGGATTACCATACGTGTGAAAGACTCATTAGTAGATTTCTCAACTTGTCTTGCTACATAAAAAGCAAATGGTTTGTAGAAGTCAAAATTAGCTAACTGCCTTAGCATAGAGGATGGATGGAAAATCTGCTGATTAAAAATATTCTGTGAATGGGGAAGAGTTAGAACAGAGATGGAGCTTTTACAGCATTGAAGATACAGTAAAGGCACTTCAGGTGTATTCCTGAGATGTGCCTTGTACCACTTGAAGAGAAAAGGAAAAATTCTGTCTAGGAGCCAAAACATGCTCTTGAAACTGATGATATGATCAATATCTTACTGATGCTTAATGGATCTAGATGTTTTCAAGATTAAAACAAATTAATTCTTATTAGATTGTTTTATTATTTCTGTTTGATAGAGGAGGAGTCCTGATCAGTTTTTTCTCTGTTACCTTGAGAACCACTGGAACTAGAAACCAGTGAATTTATTAACACCTTAAATGCTGAGTGCTGGCTTTCAGGCAGCATACAGTCTTGTGCTGCCCTAAAATGTGAAATAGGCTACTGTAGTCAATGTTTGCAAAAGCAGAAAACTGATGTACTTACAGGACTGGTTCTTGACTTGTAATTTGGTAGGAGAATGATTGTTATCATTGTTAACAAAAGTAATCAGTCATTTTTTTTAAGCTTCTGTTCCTTAGAAGGTGTAGTAGGCTACTGAAATTTTCATGCAATTTTATTCATTATTGTTCAATAGAAATTAAAAATGAAGCTATTAGTGTTCTCATAGGCAAAATCAGGAAGGATTTATTGTTAAACTTTTAGAAGCAGGAGCAATTTCAACTAGAGTAACGACAATAGGATTGTGTTTTGTAATTACTGGTGTAAGATCAGATTGTTGAGGGGGCAGAGAAAAAATTGAAGTACTCCTTATAGTTATGTGTGTTTAGTTTTTTTTGTACTTAATGACATAAAAGCTGACATAGAACCAAAAGAAATTCAAGTTTTGATTGTCTGAGCCTGCCCCCACCCCTAGATGTGTGCTGGATTAGTATATCTGTTCCATTTTATTGCCGGGTTCAAACATCATGAAGAAAGCTGAGTCATATTAATAAACCAGCCATCCCTTCCTTTGCTATATTGCCTGCAGCTTTGAGCAATGAGCAGAGCTAGGTGTGGTGGCCTTTCCTCCACAGCTCTCAATATGTGAAGGTTGAAGGGAAATTTTTGTTCTGTACCTTCCTGTTCCCTTTTTCATAGCTTTTATGATGCAGGAATGTTATTTTGAGTCTTCATTTTTGATATTGTCAAAGTAATTATTCCACTTACCTGCAATGCCTGTCTCTAGTAATCATGGAATTGTAGAATGGTTTGTTTGAGCTGGAAAGAGCCTTTAAGTTCATCTGGTTCCAACTCTGTGCCCATGGGCAGAGACACCTTTCACTTTCAGAGACCAGGTTGTTTAAAGACCCATCCAAGCTGGCCTTGAACGCTTCCAGGGGTAGGACATCCACAAGCATCTGCTTCCCAACTTGCACATTCGTACCTGTCTATTGCATCTATTTTAAACTGTGTCCTTTGTACCTTAAAAAAAAAAATCACTCAGGAATTAACCCGTTTATTAGTGTTAAACAGTTAGGTGACTGATCATAAAATTGTTTTTGTGGATGCTTTTTATTTCAGATTGGATTTATAAAAGCCACATAAAGAAAAAAATGTTCATCCTCAAATTCAGGATCCGTTTAGTGAGAAACATGAGGAAAATGAAAAACCAATGAAATTCCCTGTTACTTTGAGTAATGCATGCTCAGAGTTTATGTGAGTGCCCCTGTAGGAAATTGGGACATTCTAATGAAAGCAGAGCTATCCTATTGGGGAACCTGTGTTAGATGGTGCATCCAGTGGTCAGATCATCAGACAGATTCTGAGCCTTTCTCTACAATGTCTATGTAAAATACAGAAGTAACATTATAAATGCAGATCTAAATTGAAATTAAAAATTAACCAAAAGACAAAGTTGCCCATGTGCGCTGTATCATACTGTAAGTTTTCCCACATATTTCTTTTTGAGATAGTAATTTTTTGGGTATGGTACTGTTTTTTCCCTCTTCATCTCATCTGATGGATGTGACTTAAGGGAATGGACATTTGAGAACTAATACACTACAAAAGTAGAATAGGTTTAGTCATCCTTTTATCTGAGGAGGGCTTTGATAACTAGGGAGGTAGAATTTGTAGATGTTAGGTGAGCATATTGCAGGAAGTGAGCTTCATTTCCACAAGAGTGTCTTTTTATCTTTCTTTAGAATCAGTCAAAGCAGTTTTAAATTAATATGCCTGTTCTGGTGCAGCTACTGTTTAGAAAGTGGGATGTGTAAAATGAAAACAGTTGCTCTTTTCAGCACGAAACACAAATAAAAAAGCAGCATTGCTGGAACCTTTGCTAGAACGGAGTTAATACAATCCAGTCTTCTCTTTGGTAGGACATGAAGGACTTACAGAACTTTCCAAGGCATGCATAGAGTCCATGCAGATTTAAGTTAAGTGTTTGTATGCTACATCCAGCATTTAGATTTAGAAGTGAGGCCACAGTAAGTAACAAATTTCATTACTCTCAAGCAAGTCTTCTGGCTGAGGTAGAGTCACACAAAAAAGTGTGCCATAAGTTACAAAATAGAATCTGGATAACTGAGTGCTCAAGGCTGTGTCCATTATTAAGAGGAAATTTGTGCAGGAACTGTTCAGGTAACCAGGGCACAAATCCAATGACTACTGGATAGTATTACCTTTTTGTTGTAGTAGTAAAACTGTCATCAAACAAAATGTAAATACTGAGGCAGAGGGACCAGAAATGTGAAATATCAGTATTAATTAAACCTAAACTTAGTTGTTGATGATGTTGTTCTGCAAAAAGATAAAAAAGGAAATTATAAAGCTAGTAGTTTACTTTCAGGAAAACTTTTATAGACTGCACGTAATGCATGCCTATTTTGAGATTGCAGTGCCCCTCCATTTTACCCCATTTCTGTAGCCTTTGGCGCTATGTTAAACCAATTTCCACACTGACATCTGGTGGTAGTTCTGAAGTGCTGTGTTTCTTGAAATGCTATATATGGGAGTTTGCAGATCTAAGCATCAGTTTCAATCCCCTCCAGCTCTTCTGAAGTGATCTTATTGACATCCTAAAAATTTAACCTGCCATGGTCAGACCAGCTTCTCACAAGGCAAACAAAGTAATGAATAAATAAGTAATTCCTTAATATTTTGCTCAGTCAGTATAATGTATCCAAGAAAATGTCTGTTGTATGTGAAGCACACAATACTTAGAGTTAATTCCTTTCCCAAAGAATTCCTGTGAAAACAGTGGCATAGTTTTATTGAGATCCTGTTTGACTGGTGGTGTGTATATGTAAGTATATAGAGATATATGTATCTATGTGAAGTAAATGAGCTCAGAAGTGCCACATCATGCATACTCACATTTTTTGTGAGCTTTATATGTATGTGGCTTTATCCAAAGTCCAAAACTGGCTGTCACGGTGATAATTTGACTCATCTTGGCTCCAGTTCCGATTAGTCCTGGTGTGTGAGCGTACAACAAATAGTAAGAGCCTTGACAAAGCCCTTCAAAATTTCCACTGAAATGGTTGCAAGGGCTTACTCAGTTCCTCATCCTGACATGTATCAGGTTGATCTTAAGTTCTCTTAAGAAAATATCTCAAATCAGACACCCTGTAGGAGTGATTGGATCAGGAAAAGGAAAGTGCGAAGTTTTATTCTGCCATGGTTCCATGACTCTATTTAATATTCATCCCCCATGGGTTACACCATAGCACATAGCCTTGTGACACATGCATAGCGTGGCTGTACATGTAGATTAAGCTGCTTGTAAAAATAAAGTTGTATTTCTTCATGCTGTAAATTCTTTAGTCATTTCTGCCCTAGACAATCTCCTGTAGGCTCAGCAGACAGCTTTTTATTAAGTTTGCAAATTACAGAGTAGCTCCTTATTTGGTAATTCATTTTATGTTTGTAAGATTGAGCAGATTTTTGCCCCTATTTTTGCTTCCTTCCATTTCCAGAGTAATGGCAACCATTGGTTAGTCCTAATGTGGCAAAAGTTACCTTTGGTATAACGTTTGGTTTTTTTTCTGTGGCATGTCTGTCTGAATATAAATCAGCATATAAAGGAAGTTCAGTCAAACAATTCATTTGGGCACAGAGATAAAAATGTTTCACATTTAAGTAGTTATTCATTAATACAAATAATAGTAAAGAGGTCAAGAATTTGGCATCTAAACCAGATAGTTTAATGTGGTATACAGTTTACCGTAATGAGTACAGAGGGTCATGCAAGTCCCAAAAGATTGTGAATTACATATTTAATTTAATCTTTTAGGCAAAACCGATTTTATGAACAGTGCTGACTGGTCTGATGTATTTCAAAAGATGTTGGAAAGGAAATAAAGTAATATATTGTTTTAGTAAGTGATGCATAATTGCTTAAAACTCTTACAGTGATTTTATTTTTTGTGGTTTCAGAGTAGTCTTAATGTGTGTGTGTATATTAGCACACACTGTGGAATCAATGTTGGTTTTTTAGAACTTGTATTCATTTTGATTTATTAATTTACTTAAACTTGTTGCTTGCTGTATTTTTACACATTTCTGCATACTTATTGAGCATTTTCTATTTATCTTTCTTCCTATTAAACAGGCATTATTGAGACTGCAGACCACCTGGATCGTGAGACTACTTCGCATTACTGGCTTACTGTTTATGCAACAGACCAAGGCGTTGTGCCTTTATCATCTTTCATTGAAATCTACATAGAAGTTGGGGATGTTAATGATAATGCTCCTCAGACCACGGAACCAGTTTACTACCCAGAGGTCATGGAAAACTCACCTAAAGATGTGTCTGTCATTCAGATTGAGGCATTTGATCCAGATTCGAGCTCAAGTGAAAAACTAACCTACAAGATTACAAGTGGAAATCCACAGGGATTCTTCTCAATAAACCCCAAAACTGGTAAGTACAATACAGTGGTTTATTTTAGGTATTAATAAATTAATGTGTTTGCATAATTGCATAAACCAGGTGAAATCAAAATCTTTGGTTTAATGTTGAAAACATGCTTTCACAATAGCTGGAGTTAAGCTGATGTCTTGGGCCATGTCAGTATTAGTAAATATCAGTATTTCTACATATAAACATGTAGAAAAAGAGCTATTAGAGTGGAGCACTTGGTTCCAAGTACTTGACATCCACATCAGGCTTGTTTTCTGAAGGCTTACTTCTGAGTAGCTCCTCTCTAGACTGGTAAATGTCCATGCATTTTTATAGTGCAGTAACTATACAGTAAAACCCCATATTTTAATTTAGTTTCATCCAAATTGTTTTGAGTTGTCTTCATAGTTTGTTTTTTTTTGTCAGACCTGTTTTTAAAATTCATTTTTGGTGGCCAGGGGGAGGGTGTCATGTTTGTCTAAGCAAAATAAGCCACTTACTCCCTGCAGACTCACTTGTCTCACAGTCAGAAGATACTTTCTTTGTAATTAACTGTTGCTGCTGTTAGAAATGCAATAATCTGGAGGATTATTTTCAGCTGTGGTTTTTGTGCACTGAAAATAAAGAGTCTGAGTTCACTGGTTATTTGGAAAGCTTCAGAAAAAAGCACTGAGGTTTTAGCAGGGGAGTACAAACAAAGAACCAGGTAAGCTTTTAGGAACTGAATTGCAGGTACTGAAAGGTGTGTAGAACAGACAGATGGGAAGCAAAATAATCAGTCTTAACTGAAGCTGCCTCATAATTTTGAAAATATTTTAAGTGTTGCCTGTCATCCCTTCCTTCTGAATGTGGAGAAAATAATACACATACTGGGTGTTTTTCCCACAATTTATGCCTAGAGAAGAACTTGCGGTTTTTTTGCAAGGTTGTGCCCAGCTCAGCTTTTCATATGTTGTGTTTAGGTATTATTTCACAGCAAAAATTATGAGAGATGCTTTTGGTTCACTGAGCCATTTTTTTTTAATCCCAATTTAGAGAGTTTAAGATTAGAGGTCCTGCAGAGGTGCAGTGAGAGACTTTAATCTATTACAAACCCAGTAAGTACAAGGGAGAAGTACAGACTTTATTAATTTAGCTCTTGCCCATTCATGGAAGCAATTTCAGGGTACTTAAAGGAGCGAAAATGGAGTGAAAAAAATGTTTTGAAGGCTATGGCCTTCATTTTGTTCTGTAGTTATTTTAGCTCAGGGTATGAAAGACTTGTGTGCTTTATCAATTGCAATTGCTGTGTCAGCAAAGCTCTGAGTGCAAACACAGATATGTTATTTGGGTTATTTCTGCCAATAACTTCTTTGTCAGCATGTGCTGCATCTGTGAAAACACTGCCAAGAGGGGCATATGGAATAGCTATAGCAACAGAAGATACTTAGTATAGTTAAAGCCTTCATCTAAACACTGTACTTGCAAAATGTTGGTTTTAGAGAAAAGGGAGCCTGAAAAGTAAAGCAAGAGAAATTCAACCACAGTCTTCTGAAGTGAATGCAGAAAGTGTTTGTATGCTTTATTTCTATTTGCTTTGCTCTGTGTCTTTTTTCTCATTTTACATGATGCAAAAGGAAAAAAAAATCTGCTTTTTTATCTACTTCCTTGTGCTTTATGATTTTGAAAAAGTTCTATTGCCTGCCACTTTGATATTTTTTTTTGTTGTCTCAGTATAATACTGAGAAAATGGAAATAAAATTGCCTGTGAGTTGGGTGGAAAAAAAGTGAGTGACTGCAGTATTCAAATTGCAAAGGAACATAAATTCTACCTCCATTCTTTTCATCATTACTCTATAATTGGCTAGTTATTTTTGGTTATTGTTTCCTTAAATATTCCTGCAAAATATACAGGATACAAAACTACAGGTCATTTTCTCTTTCTTCTGTTCTTTTCCTCCTCTTTCAGCCCCCTGTATCATCAAGTGGCCTTTTCCAAACTGTGTTTTGAAAAAAGACACTGCTGTACCTCCCTTGCTGAAGTTTTGACATAAAGAAATATCTTTATTCCTATTTAATGGGTAGAATTAGGGCGCTGGGAGGTTGTGACTTGTCTTTGGACAGAGTTTGCAGTTTTCTATGTCAGTAGCTTACTGTGATCTCATTTATGTTACAAAGGGACCTTGAGTGAGAGAGCTCAGCACAATAGATGGTGAAGTGATAAGGAGCACTTAATAGAAAAGGAATAAAGATTTTCTGTCAAGAGATTGTCTTACCTGCCTCTTTTGTAGCACACATACACTAGAAGCAAGCAGTTCAATCCACAGTCCTCAGTTTGGTGTTAAAGAATAAAAAGCAAAAGAGCAACTGGAAATTATTAAATCATTATATTTCAGAACACAAGCACTGTGAATAAAAGAATCTCCCTCTGATTTACATTCAGCTGAAGAAATTTTTTTTTCCCTCAATATAATTAAAGGCCCAGGCTTAGGTGTTCACCTATCATGTGCCATTCATGCTATTACTGTTAAAATTGTAATGCTAAATAGACATGCTTCTAGACAGATATCTTAAACATAGTGAAAGGAAAAAGGTGGGCAGAGCAGAGAAGGGAAGCTTGTTCCTAGAGTGCACTCAAATAATTCAATGGAGAAATTAAAAAGCTAACTCATATATATATTGTCTTCCCATTTTATGTGCTCTAATGGGATATACTGCCTATCCTGTACATGACCAGTTTGAAACTGTTAGTCTGCAGTGGGCACTAACATAGGGGCTGGGTTTTGACTAAGATTATCAAGTTCTTAAGTTCTCAAGTCTCTCTTCTATCTATAAGAAATTGAATGTATTTAATCTGAATAGATCTTACTTGATGTGAAAGTGTTTTCAATGGAATTGACATGCTGAGGAGTTGAAAAAACTTTAAAAGACACTGGTTATTGTTCTAGTTATAACACAGTGCATTCTATCTTCCCAATCACTTAAAAGGGGGCTCAGCTGAAGAGTACATTTGACTAGAACGGGAGAGATCAAGTCTTGTCTTGTTTGCTTATGTGTATGTATTATCCTTGTTATCACACTGAAGTTATCACACAGTGTAAGGTATTTGTCCAAGGAAGAGAAACCTTCCCCAGGGCCCCCAGTTTCCTTTCAACCACAGGGGAGATGGGGCTGGAATATTAATCAAATCTTTTTAACTGTATCCTGTTGAAACATTGACAGTGACAGTATGAGTTTAAAATCTGCTGGTGTGCATCCCCAAAGGTGAATTGAAGACTGTAATGACATTCAGTTCAAGTCAACTAAAAGCTAGTGTTGGGATTCTTAAAATATGTGGTGACTGTTAAAATACAGCTCAGGTGGTAATGTGTTATTACCTCTTATCCTGGTCAAGGATCCATTGTTTCCTTTCTCTTTATAAAATTTAATGCTATGTACTGTGGTCCATGGCTGAAATTCCCACACATAGTAGTAATACAGATTATAAATAGAAACAACCTACATGTAACATGTATCAAGTGAAACACTGCATTCTGTTCTCCTGATGTAGCTAATGCATTTCTAGAACTTTGTGGGCTCCAGACTGAAATTGTCTTAATGCAATAATCCTGAATTTTTAGAAACTTGTTGACATGGATCTTTGTAGGATATACTTCTTTATTCACAAAAAGAAGAAATTTCTTTTCATGACAAGAGCTATTGACTGAGTGATTAGTTTCTCAGAAATGCTATTGGCTTACGGAGTACCTGATGCTTCTTACTGCAATCTGTTTCCAAGCACCCCCTTCAGTATATCTTCACTGACACTTAAAAATGTCTTTTATATTTCAAATAATTATAAAATAACTTAAGGAAACACTGCTAAGTTTTTCTTCGCATGCCATTTCACTTCTTGGAACAGGATATATGGCAAGGTACATCAGAGGACATTTTTTAATCTTTTCATGTATATTTAGTCTTTCACTAAAGCAAATGAAATAACATTTTGTTTACCTTTGGAGTTTCCATGCAATGAAAAGAAAGTGTTGTACATATGAGCTGTCCAGCTGTCCAGAAGAAAAATAGTTGACATAATATTATTAGCCAGAAAGAATGAGAACAGAGACTTAATTCCACAACTTTCATGCTCAATCTGAGCACAACTGTAGACAAACCTGCAGATTATGATAACAACTTTATATCTGCTGAACTTCTTGCAACGTAGCTTGTAATTAAATACAGAAGTAATTGACAAAGTGGAAAAGTTGCAACACGTGTTAATACATTGAGGTGGAAAGAGTTGAAGTTGCACGATTTGGTGGCTGTTTTGAGCACATGTCCTGGGACTCTGTGGTTAATCTCAGCACTTAACTCTAGAGCTATTGCACTGAGGCTCAGAAAAGATTTGCACACTTACCAACACTCATGTACAGCAGAGGATTGTATAGCAGTAAACAAGTTCTGAGATTGGTGCCTGGAGCTTAAAATACAATGCTTTTATAAGCACATGTAATACATATGGTGTGTATAATAGTGCTTTAGTACTATTTCTCTTTCTTGCAGGTGTAGTTTATTTGCTTGTGAGCTATTTGGGTACTTGTAGAACTGAAAAGTTTCATGTATCATAGATGTAAGCTCCATGTTTGTATTTACAAAATACAATTTATTATTTTAATGCTTGGAGTAAACTACTCAATGCTTCTATTTTACATGAACACAGTCCTGTTGAGTAGAAAAACTTCTGCTTTTCCTCATCTTTGTGCCTTTCATGTTAAAATATCTTAATTTGCTTTTTTGCTTTTGAGAAGTGTTGGAAGGATGACACGTGATAGCAGGATTGCTTTCTTAGAGAAAGTGGAACAGATAATTAGTATGGTATCTACAGGTAGTAGCTGATGATACCATTGCATATAAGTGTACATTTATGAGTCAATGAATTATGATTTTATAATTTATAATCTATTTGGATTTAGAAATTATACATTTAGAAACTGATCTGCTGGTTCCTCTTTAAAAGAGTTATTGTAATAATTTTACTAAAAGCTTTCAATCAAACCATTTAA